AGAAGAAGAAGAAGAAGAAGAAGAAGAAGAAAAAGAAGAAGAAGAAGAAGAAGAAGAAGAAGGAGGAGGAGGAGGAGGAGGAGGAGGAGGAGAAGGAGAAGGAGAAGGAGAAGGAGAAGGAGACGAAGAAGGAGAAAACTATGTAAAAAATAGCCCAAGTCTGCTTCTCAAATGGGTTTCAGGCATTTTTCAATTCTTTTTCTAGAATTAACTGAAGTGGGAGCAGGGACTGTAGAGGTAAAAAGAGGTTTCAGCTGATGATGCGGGCTGTGGGGCCTTTGTATTGGTGATGTGGCGCTGTGGAGTCCTGGTGAAGCTGTTCTGTGGAGTCTTGTGTTGGTGAATTGGGGCTGTGGAGTCCTGTGTTGGTGATGGGGGGGGGGGGCTATGGTGGAAGGGACTGGAAGTGAGGTAACCTGGCTTCTGATTTTCCTCAGGTGTTCTGTAACTGGGTCATGAGTCACCTCTGTGTTCTCTACCTGCAAGATAATGACCAAAGCTGAGGCCATGGCTGACAAAACTTGCGAAGTTGGCTTAGATGATAAATTATCTGTAATTTATAAATATACATATAAATAAATTTTATATTTTGTAAATTATAATATATAGCACGTGAATGTTACCTGAAAATCTGCAGCGAGAGTTAGAAGGACGAGGAGAAGTAGGAGGAGGTGGGAAAGGTGGAGAGAAGGAAGAGGAAGAGAACCTCCAAATCCTAAGTAATTGTAGAATAACTTACTTTGAACAAAGAGTGACAGGTAGAGAGCATACCATTCCAACATGGTTGTTGCAACCAGAACATGCTCTGGAGCAGCACTCCCATACAGGTAGCCTTCAGAAGTACAAGAGTGATACAAAACACCCCCAGTTGCTATCACACTAGCAATGTCTTTACAAGAAAATATATGAGAGAATTAAAAATAGAAAAATATGCATGCATTTGTTTCTGTGTTTAACAATACCAAAACAAGTACAGAAAGGGTAAATTCATGAAATGGAGATTTACTAACCTGGAAGAAAGGGAACAGGAATAGTGGAGATTAAAATGTAGTAGTGCCACTGCCTTAAGGACAATTCGGTGCTCAATTTCGGCTTTAGAACTATTTTAACATTTCACATTAAAATAACTATGTTATTTTAGCATTAGGAAATGGATTTCAACAAAAGGAACCATGCACAGCAAAGCAGAATGTCAGCATCAAACAATTCAGTCTCTCCAGGGTGGTGGCGGCTCCCCAGGGTAACCTAGAGATTGGCACCAGTCAAACAAAGCAGACACCTTTCTCCAACAGACATTTACAGTGTGCCAGTTCCAGCCCACACCCGGTGGACACAGCTGTGAGAGCAGACCCACGAGGCATGTGCAGTCTAGTCCAACCGGGATCCTACCCAGAGGTTAAAAACCACTGCTTTCATGCAAACCCAGGCTGGCCCAGGTTAGCGGGATCACTAGACACTGACTTTCGTGGGTTGTATTTGAAAGTGTTTCCAGGGGTTGAAGAATTTTCTAAGCCCTTGGTTCAATTTTCTAGGATAGGAAAGAAAAAGAAGGGAGAGAGGGGAGGAGGAAGTTGAAAGAGATTTTGTTATTCACAGGTGAGAAGATCCTTAATAAATACTGCATACAAATTCCATATAGTTATTCAAGATAACACATTTTGGGATTCATTTAAAATTCTGTCTTCTATTTCAGTCAGGGGCATATGCCTGTTGTCCCAATTACTCTAGGAAAAAAGCAGCAAAGTTGCTTGAGCCCAAGAATTCAAAATTAGCCTTAACAAAATAGCAAGACCTTTCCTCCCAATAAAATAATATGAGATATCATCATCATCATCATCATCATCATCATAATACAGTCTTCCCTGCAAGAATGCAAGTTGGGGCAGAAAAGGCCCAGGAAGACACTCAGAATAAGCAGCTAACCTAAGCCTTTGGTTTGAGTTTCAGTGATCTGGATGTGTGATCTGGGTGGAGCAGGTCACATTCATTCCTACTCCTGGCACAAAGCCATTCTTATCCCATTTTAAGAACCCAAGGGAGCCAGGAGGTGGTGGTGGTACACGCCTTTAATCCCAGCACTCCGGGAAGGCGCAGACGGGTCTCTGTGAGTTAGAGTGAGTGCCAAGACAGCCAGGACTACAGGAGAAACTCTCTCGAACTCCTCCCCCAACAAAAAGAACACCGGTGAAGTCTCCACACAAGAGTAAGGGACACCGAAATCCTCCACCTGTAGTGCCTTTCACTCAGGGTTGTGCTACCCAAGAACCTCTGGAGTTGAGTAGTCCTTAAGCCGTAATTGATTCGGGACTCCAAGCCTCGGAGGAGCGGGGAAGAGGGGATGGTCAGCAAACCTCCAGTGAAAAAGAGCTGCATACAAAACACCACTTTGCGAATTCTTGTGCCTGGCGCCAGGCAAGAGTTTGGAGGGTGGGTTAGGGATTTCTCTGTGCTCCTACCTCTTAAACCCCGAGTTGAACAGCGCTCTCCTTTATAAGGATGCTTTTCACCATTTTTGAGCGGCTAGAAAACGTTTTCAAGATTGAAATAGCATGTAATGATCTTATCAAAGAAGGGCAACGTATTTGAACTCAGGTCTGTTAATCTCAAGTGCTGCCCAAGGCACCTTTTTCTTCTAGATTTCTTAATGGTGCATATTATTCGCCACTGAATGACAAGGCCCTGGTAACTTCGGGCTTTACAGTTTTATCCAGGGTCGCCCCAGATCTGGGAAAGCGGGAATCCAGCTCGGCATAATGAAGCACCCGGGGCGGAGCTCTCAAAATCCCAAGTATGTCTCCAGCCTTGGAGGTTCTCCTGAGTAAACATCCATCAGGAGGCCTTTTCCCTACACCTCCGGGAGTGGGTGGAATAGCACAATTTTCCAAGGAAGTCCCAGAAGAAGTTTTAATTCACGTTAAAAATACGTCTCAATGTTTTCTCTACATATGTATACCAAGGATATATATCAGAGGATAAAGGAATAAAACATCTACGAATATAAAGCCTTATTTATGGTGATTTTAAAAAAAAACAGAGACTCTCTAAAACTATGAGCTCATTCTGTTAAGGTCCATCTGTAATGTAGGACATTTTACTGCTACTTTGAATCATACTCAGAAAAACTAATGAATAGATAAGTAAATCTAAACACACGCAAAAATAAATAAGACCGTTATTTGTTTATTTGCGGATGTTTTCAATCTTTCTCCCAATTTTTCCACTTTTCCAGGGTGTAAATAATAATTTTTATGATCAGAAAAAAAAAAACGAAAACAGGATAAAATGTCAATATGTGTTTGGGTTATTACAGAATTTGAGATCCCTGAGGGCAGAAGGTGGGGAGTACGGGTTTATTTGAGGGTAACACTATGGGCACATCTGCCAGCAAGAAGTGCCTCCCTACCCCTCCTCTCTCCCATCCACATTTCTGAGTAGAAAAAAAAAATCTGGACACAAATAGCTTCATCATAAAGATTACATGATATGTATCTGAAATTATTACACAATTATTTAGTCGCAAAAAAATCAAATTTGCTGAAATTTTTCTACAAGTTTTTGTTTTTCAAAACTGTGCTCTAGACCTGGGAGATGGTTCAGACTAAAGACGCTTGATGGATCCCGGGGACACCCTCAAGTTGCCCTCTGCTCTCCACACCTGGGCTTGCAATCCTCCCTTTCCAATAAATAATTTTGTTTTTCAATTTTCAACAAACAAAATTGTTTTTTTGTGTGTGTGTGTGTGTGTGCTTTCTGGCTGGAGAGAGGGTTTTCATCGAGAATTTCAGAAAATAGCATCTAAACCTCTCGTGTAGCCGTGGATTTTCATGAGACGGTTTAAAAAACATTTTATCTGAAATTCTCTTAAATCTCTAGTGAGATTTTTTATTATTATTTTAAACGGTATGTTTAAATCCTGTATTGGGAAATATAACACCAAACCCCGGTTTCTTGATCTCATTAGCATGAGCCTCTGGCGGCTGGAGGATTCTTGTTTACACGGTGTCCTGCTTATTCCTCTAATCTTTCTCCTTACCTCATGAAAACGAAGTGTGAGAGAGGTTCGCCCTTTGTCCCAAACCCCACACATTTGTTGTATTACACAGCCAAGACCATATCTGCCCACTCTCTCTGTGTTCCTACCTCGAACACCACGGAGACACACTGTATACTCCGCCCAAGCCGTGTCCAAGGAGCGTTCCGGAGATCTAAGGCGGGGCAAAACTTCCCATGTATCCACGCTTGCTCAAGACGCGCTTTAAGACAGGAGAAGAAACCCGGGAAAGAGACGAGGTGAACCTATCTCTAAGTTTCTCCGGGGCAAGAATTAACCTTACTTCCCAACCACTACAAAAATACTCAGAGATGGCCAGAGTACCCGCCCCTCACCACAGCCTCTGCGCCTCAATTTCTCTTCCCTGTAAGTGACAGATCAGCGCTGCGCTTCCTGTACTGGACTAAAGACTAGCTCCACTGGCTGTGTGGGGCCTTAGGGTCCCCGAGAAGGAATCCAGCTTAGCCCCAGCTGAGGAACCCCTCCCTTGTCATTCCAGCTCTCTATTCCTCGGTTTTTCTTTGCCCTGGGAGTGTATACTGGAAAACCAGATGGATTGGTTGCTCTGAAACTCCGAGTTAGCGCCTTCCAGGTACATCCTCTCGATGGGCGCCTCCGTCGGGAGTCCTCGGGAGCTCCTGGAAGCACCCTCTTGAGATACAGGCCACGCCCTTCTCCTCGTCTTTGTTTTTGAGAAAGGTCAGTCCTCCCAGAAAGGTGACGAGGGATTGAGGGCGAACAGAAGGGCCCCAAAGCCAGAGTTTGGGGACGAGGGCGTTGGGTTAGCACGTGGTTTCTCTGGGAACCAATGAAGCACGGCAATTTTGTCACCCGGTCCTGGTCCCCTACCCTGCAGACAAGGCCAAAGGAAGGCGTGGCCTGGACCTTGAGTGTACGTCCAGGAGTCTCTTAGACCCGCCATCACAAAAGGGGAAGTTAGGCGTACTGACACCTGGTAGTAGTAGAGAACTTGGCAGCTCCGCCCCCTAGGCCTCCGAGATGCTGCTGAGCCGGGTCACCTCCACTCCCTTCTCCGTGGACGACATCCTCAGGCTGGAGGGTGAGCAGAACGATGTCAAGACTCCGTCACAGTGGGAGTTGCATAGGAACCCAGAAAAGCCTCAGTACCTAACAATGGACCTGGAATCGGGAGGGTCAGAGAGCGTCGGCGGCGACAGGGCACAAGCTGGATCAGACCCTCTTCGGTTCTCCTGGGAGGCAGTCGTGGAGATGGAGCCAGGTGAGTAAGAACCCAGGTTTCCTCGGCATTATTGAAGGAGTGAGTCGTCACTGATGGAGAGACTGCATCTTCTGAGGTCTCACCCCATCTTCCCTCATTTTAGGAGTCCGAAAGACAGCCTCCCTGTTCCTAGCCAAGCCTCCTAAGGACTTGAATTGTAGGGTGTTCCTTCCCACAGCCACCCCTCTGCTGGCCACAAAAACATGATTCCATTGGAGCCTGGTTCTGAGAGCTGCTTTCGCCCCCCAAACTTCTTTACCATAACTTAGTTTATGCTCCATCACTACTGCCCTTGCCTGCCTAGCCCAAATCTTTCTGGAGGAAACAACTTAGGCTTGTTGATTTATCTGGGGACACACACACACACTTCTCTATAGAGAAAATGGGAGAGAAGGAACAAGTCTCTCCCCTCTCCCTCCCTCTCTCCCTCTCTCTCTCTCCCTCTCTCTCTGTCTCTGTGTGTGTGTGTGTGTGTGTGTGTGTGTGTGTGTGTGTGTGTGTGTGTTGCTTTTCAAGTGGACCTGAGGGCACTTAAGAATAACTAGGACCCTAGCTAAGAGACTAATCCCTCCGAATCCTAGAATCTGGTCCAAAGTGCATGGGCAAGCAGAGAGGTCCAGGAACCTATCCTTAGCTTGTGGAAAGAGAAGGGACAGACAGGGAGTTTATGTTCTGATAGCTTTCTACAATCAAAGTGGTATATAGGTAGGAAAGGCCTGCTACTGGAAGAATGCAATGGCCACTGTCCTCCTACCCCGCCAGTGTGCCAGGAGTAGTCACACCTCCAGTCCAAGGTGGGGAGGAGAGTAGATTGGCACCACCAGCCTCCCCTACCAAGCCAGGCTGCATATAATCAATCACAAGGGCACCTTCAGAAGTACCCTCGGACTTGAGGCTGTTTATCAACTGTCCTCCAGAAGCCTGGACAACACTTTGTCGTGTTAGAAAAGAAACCCTTGGGTTTTCTGTGGTGGACACTATAAACATTCAATTCCTGGGTACGGGTCTGCTAACTTGAAGTTCCTTTCAGCTTTGCTGAGAAAGGGTTATGACTGTTTCTCTCCCCACTGCCCCAGCCACAGGCACACCTGGGGTGTCCCTTGACTAGCACCCTGTCTTTTGCCACTGTGATAGCCACACAGGGCCCATCCCAGCCTGGCCATGAGGGCTGTAGGTCAGGGAAATGGACCATCTGGCAGGCTTCCCCACAACATGTGATGTGTATGCATCTCCATCTGACCCTCTTGATGTCTTGAAAGCAGGGCTCAGAACTCTCCAGTTGTGACTAAGAGGGTACAGGATGCTAACTCTTCACTTTCTATTTATTTATTATTTATTTATTTAGGTTTTGGACTTTGTTTTTTTGAGACAGGATCTCATCATGGTTGAAATTAACCTTTAGTGTGTCTATTGGCGAGGAAGGGGTAGCAAATCATTTCCATTGTCGAAACATGAAATTCAAGGAAGCCAAGTGCCATCTTGGGTTCAGTTCCCTGCTGTTTGTCCTACCAAAGCTGAGTCCTATGGGACCCAGGGCTCCCATTAATAAATCGCGTTTATTTTCAGTCAGCTTCTGAGGGTACGTTTTTCGTAATTTTTGAGATCTACAGTTAAAGTTTCTACTGTCTTTTTGGATTTACCCGTGTGGGGGGCTCTTTTCCTGACGGGGACTTTGAAACTATGACTAGCCTGGAGCTGGCTAGGTAGATCAGGCTGACCGGAGCTTAGAGTGATGGCAAGGCCTTTGCTGAGTCAGCGACTTTCAGTTGCCGGCTCCTGCTCGCTCTCGCTCTCTCGCTCTGCCGCATCGCCGGAGGTCAGTGTCATTTAGATTTTTAAAACGAACACTCCTGTTTTCCCACTTTTGGTGTCCTCGGTTTCTATGAGCACAGATGCCCCTGGGGTGGGGGTCTCTCCCCAAACTTTAAACAGTAGTCCTTTCCCAGAAGTTATGCCCTGGGCTAGGGGTTGAGAATCAGGATCTCAACCCCAGCCGTGCGGCCCTCGCTGTCTTGCCCTCACTACGGGCCCTTAGATGTTCCCTTCGGTGTCCCTGGATTTCCCCCGATGTGAGTTTCCTCTCCTTCCTCCTCGGGGAACAGAGCTTAAGCCAAGACAAGAGACATGGAAAGTAAGGGGGCGGGGGGGGGGCTGCATTTAGGCGGGTCTGCGCATAGTCACAGTCTGGCAGAGGGAAGGACCACAAGGAAACCCTCACGGGGGCCACCGGCTTGCCAAAAGGACCCTAAAGGAGGTAGGGACTGTTTATCAAAATGCCAAAATGTGGATCTCAACTTCGCATATCGAAGAGAACCTCTATTTCCAAACCTGTGAGTCGGGATCAGGACATATCTGGCTTTTAATCTGCCCAGGAACCATCTTGTTCTTAATTTGCACCGCAGAGCATCCTGCTTATGAAGTTTAAGGTCCAGCCCCATTCTGATAGGCCCGCACGCTCACGTTTTAAGATTCCTCAAACTGTTGGACTACCAGACACCAATGAAGCAAATAGGCACACGTGATCCGGGATCTACTGTTGGTGAAACAAAAAGTGCACGGAGGTGGAGGGGGGTGGATCACAGTATATCAGACTTGACTTAGGCTGAGAAATAGAGCAACTGAGACCCGCCCGGGAGGCGGATAGAGAAGGGTGAGGAAAAAGGGATGCCCAGTGAAGGCTACTAGGGAGTGAGTGGGCTGTCTAGGGAAAGCAACCTGAGCCTATTGCTGATTGTTGACAGTGTTCCTTTCATGTGACTGTAGAGACTCCTCCGCGCGCGACCTCTCCGCTTGGAGCTGGGAACCCGAGGATGGAGCGCGGTGCGGACGACTGCGGCGGCGACAGCGTACACCGAGGCGGCCCGGCGCCGGCCCGGCCGCGGCCGCGGCGGAAGCCCCGCGTGCTCTTCTCGCAGGCCCAGGTGCTGGCCCTGGAGCGCCGCTTCAAGCAGCAGCGGTACCTGTCTGCCCCTGAGCGCGAGCACCTGGCCAGCGCGCTGCAGCTCACGTCCACGCAGGTCAAGATCTGGTTCCAAAACCGGCGCTACAAGTGCAAGAGGCAGCGCCAGGACCAGACCCTGGAACTGGCGGGCCACCCACTGACGCCGCGCCGGGTGGCAGTCCCCGTACTGGTGCTGGACGGCAAGCCCTGCCTGGGTCCCGATGCTCCCGCGTTCCCGGGTCCCTACGCGGCCACCGCGTCCCATTCTTGCTTCGGCGGCTACTCGGGCACTCCCTATAGTGCTGGCTACGCGGGCCGCTACACCGGCGCTGGCCCTGGGCCACTCACACCACTGGCCAGCTCTGGCTTCAGCCCAGGTGGCCCGAGTGCCGCCCCGCAGGGCCATCTGCCCGCTACGCTACAGGGAGTCACGGCCTGGTGAAAAGTCGGAGCTCCATTAAGGGCCTGGTGCCTAGTCCCCTCCCCTTCCAGCTGCTCGCATCCAGCGAGTTGAGCGTCCGCCAACGGGCTGGAAAGCGGCGATCGGTCTTGCGCAGTCCTCCTTACTGATCTGCCCAGAGGAGCGGCGCTGAGAACATTCTTTCCCTCCGAGATGTAGCTGGGCTTTGGCTGGCCACCTAGATGCTATGAAAAGAGGATAGTATGGTGGCTAACAGTTTGGAAGCAGGTGATTCTGAGCCACAACCCACTTGAAACAATTGCAAGCATCCTGGAGGCCTGGGGATCAAGGCTGTCCGCACTCCATCCCTTAAAGGAACAAGTGCGCAGGGTAGTGGGGATGCAGGGTTGAGAAGAGAAAAACATCAAGCCGCTGAAGACACCAAAGGACACGAGCCTGAAAGTGCCCCAGACATGGTTTTAGGGTTTAAGCATCCTGGACCTCCCGGAACACCCACCGGAGAGCACGTTCCCTGGTGGTGATCTCACCTCCAGAGAGGCCTCTCTACTCTCAGCAACTGCATTTTGTTCAGGGAACAGCCGGACGAGTAAATGAGCTAACTATATTCGGTGTGTTTGCGTGTTATAGACAGCAGGACCCTCAAGAGGTTCTCAAAGGGCGTGGTGACATGCACCTGTAATCCCAGCACTCAGGAGACCCAAGCGGGAGCATTGGGGAGTTCGAGGCCAACCTGGGCTACATAAGGAGCCCCTGTATCCAAAGCAAAATAAGTCTAGGGAGATAGTTGATTCAGCCCTGAAGGTAGGTTATGGGGTTTCTCCTAGTAACTTTTCTCCTCTTTGTAGATACTCTTAGGGGGACATTTAAAGTTCCCATCAGGAAAATATCCCTGACCCCACCCCAGTCTAATCTAAAAAGATAGTGGAAACTTTAACTGTGGGATCTTTAAAATTACGAAAAAATTTACATTCCCCCAATGTTAAGTTATTCGACCTGAAGACTGAAAATAAACTCTATTAATGGGAACACGAGCTCAAATAGGAGTTTATCTTTGGTAGGAGAAATAGAGCAGGGGCTTGAAGTAGAAAAATGTGCCACCAGCTTCCTTGGACTTCATTTCCAACCACAAGAATCCCAATTCTGTACCCCCTCAACTGATATCAAAAGCTAAATTCTATTATTGAACAGGTTTCCATATTTAATTAAAAGGGACTCCCTCAGGTTTTCCCTGGATGGCATACTCCCAGGTTGTTTCCGTTGAAGTGAGGAAGGGGCGCGGGTTCGATCTTCTCTGAAAGATGCTCAGCTGTTGGCAGCTTGCATCCCTTAAGAGTAAAATGCCTAAGCAGGGGCAAACCAAAGACACTGTTCCGACTTAAAATCTGCTGCCACTTTCTCCCTTCTACATTTGTTCACTGGAGGAGGGAGGAGGTGCATGCCTTGCCGTGGTGCCTATTGTCAGAGGACAAAGAGAAGGAGTCCTCTCTCCTTTCACCCTGTGGCTTTGGGTGCTGGAACCCAGGCTTAGTGGCCAGCACCTTTATCCACAGCACCATCTCTATGCTTCAGTATCACTTTCTCTCAGACCTTCCTTTTGTTCTCTTCCTCTTGTTTTTCATTTCTTCACTGTTAATAAACGTCTGTTTAGAAGTGCATCAGTGTCCTGTAATTTGCGTTGTGCCCTGGGGCTTAAAAGACAGAAGTGTACAATAATGGCCGGAGAGGTAGCTCAATGGGTAGAGTGGGAGCCTTGCATGTGGGAGACCCTGAACTGGATCCCCACCGCTTCAGAAACTCAGCGCAGTGGCACAGGCTTGTAATTCCAGCCCTCTGGAGGTGGAAGCAGAAGCAGAGGCAACAGGGCTATCCTTGGCTATGAAGCCAGTGCAGGTCTGCCTGAGCAACATGAGACCCTGTCTAAATAAAATTAAATTTAAAAAAAAAAAGCAGTACATATTCATATCTGAAAATCCCAATAAGAGCTAAAGACTCAACTGATATCTCTATCCTGTGAGAATCCTCAGCTGGGGTCTCCTGACTCTCCCTTTGAAGAGTGTGCTTACCAAAGGAGGGAGCAATTTTTTTTTTTTTTTTTTTGGACACTGGTGCTAGATCAGGACAGACATCTTTCAGTTCAGTGTTGCCAATGAAGCCTATCAAGTTCTCCTAAGAATTCCCCCCTCCCAAAAAAAGCTCCCTTGCACAGGCCCCACCCCAGATAGATACATAGAGTATCACATTCTAGATCGTTGGAACAGAGCAGGAAATTAATGTTATCCCCTTCCCCTTTCCTGTCTTTCTGGCCTAGAAAAGTCATAGAAGCAACAGTGTGCTGTGTTCTGGATAGGTCCTGGCTCCTGGGTTAAGCCAAGTTAGACTCCCAGGCCTTCCCACCCAGGGGGAGCACTTTGGAAGAAAGCCAAGAGGATGGGGGCTCCCTGAGTGAAAGCCAGGCAGGCTCGGGTCTGCCCTGCTGGGTCATCGCAGCTGCACCTTCCCTGTAGAGGCACAAGAGCAAATGAGAGATGGCTGCTGTCCTTCGGACCTTTATTATCTAAGCTAGGGAAAGGCAATTCGGGAAAGGTGTCTGAAAATAGAAGGTGGTGTAGACTGTGTGTCTGACAGTCAGGACAGACAAAAGCTCCGGAAAGAAACCCCCGCTGGGGATGGTGTAAGGGGAAGCTGTGGAGAAGAGGTGCATGACTTCGGTGATGAGTGTGGGAAGGACTCTGTTTCTCCCAGAGAGGCCCAGATCTTTGCTATGGAGACAAGCAGAGGTTCCAATGTTGGGGCCACTGTCCTGTTCCAGGGGTCTGAGCTGCACATCAAGGTATGCATTTGAGAGTTTGGGAGTTACATGCAATTCACTGAAACTCCATTCAGTGGTCTCCCTTTTCTTTCAAACTTGGACCATGGGATCATGTCACAACCAAGCTTGAGGAAGGCCCAGGACACACAGTAATGTGAAGACCCCACGTCAGCTTTGTGGACCATCATCTTTTGTTACCCGCATCCCCTAGTTTTCTGTGACACCTCTGTTTGGCTAGCCTCAAACATAAAAACAATAACAATGACAGGACCCAGTACACACACATCCCAGAGGGAACTCTTTTTCTGAAGATAGGAAGTCTGGGCATCTCAGGACACCAAAGATTTGTTCCTTAAGGAAAGGGGAAAAGATAAAACTCTTTTCGCCCCACTGCGCCCAACAGTTGCTGTGAAAAGCACCCCACACACCCCAGCCTTGGAAGTCCCCAAGCCCCAGTTGTCAGTCTTCGCTGTAATCTGTCCAGTACTAAAAGCTGCCGCTTTGTGAGTCCCTCACTGGTGCTTATCCTCACGGGGCTTTTACTGGGGAGGGAGCTGCTCTGTAAGCAACCCTAGCCTTATCTGCATCCTTCAGACCCATCACTCCAGTCACCTCTTAATGTTCACAAGTCCCCCAAATGGGAAGTAATTGACCTCTAAACAAAACAAAAAAGCTCTCAGAGAGATAGCAAAGGTTCCTGTCCTGGCTATCCCAGGGCCAGGGGCTTCACCTAGGCCAGGTGGGTGAGTCAATACATTTGCAGACTTTCTGGCTCCTGATCCTTCATCTCCCTGCCCATCCCCCCCCACCCCCTTAAGTCCACTGGTTCCCAGGCTGTGTACCAAATAGAGTCTAGACGGGGGTTGTGAAAGATTTGAGGCATTTACTTTTTGTAATGCTATCATCATCAATGTTATCACCACCACCACCATCATCTTTCTGAGTTGGAGGGTGTATGTCAATCTTTTAAAACTTCTATTCGGAAAGTATCTAGAATTCCCAGCATTCATGTGCCCTCCTTATATGAATCAGCTCGATGACTGGATCTTTTTCTTTGCTGGGAAAGAAGGGGACTAAGGTTTAAACCTTAGTTTAAAGCTCAGTGCCCTCAGCCCTCCCCTTGGGAAGGATGACAGCGAGTTAGTTGTTGTATCATTTTGGCCCCAGTTTAATCAGGAACATGCTCTGTGACCTTGAGTCGGCCTTCTAACCCCTGTGCTTGCTCTCTCCATCTGTAAAACTAAGGAGCAAGAATTCCGAGGCCAGCATTCTAACTCTGGGTGGCTCTCTGTTGCTTTCGCACACCCTTTCATTTTTAAAACTAGGAGATATATAGGTACTATGCCCAGAACACTACATAAAACATCTAGACACTGTTTAAAGGACACTTGTAAAGCGAACAGATTCTGTCAACAATCCACAGTTAACCACTCAATCATGGGGTGCCTGCCCTCCCATATCCCTCCCAAAATGCAACCTCTCCTCCTCCCCCATCCCCCAGAGGAGGTCCCAGCTGCTGAGATGGAAATTTTCAGGCTTTTCATTATGGATCTGGTCATGTGGATGCTTCCTTTAGCCGTGATTTGTGTCTGGTTTTGAAGGGTACTGGGGATCAACCTGTGTGGATTCTTTTGTGACTGGCCTCTTTTATTCCATGTGCTGTGTGGGGATTCATCCAGGCTGTTGGATGTAACTTAGGTTAGTTGGTGTGCTGCACTAGAAGGTACTGGGTGTGTGTACTTTAATGCCTGTGTTAACCGATAGTGTAGGTCATTTATAGCTGGGGACAGCACACTGCTTTCTTTAGTGATGCCACTTCTCATGGGCACAGCTGCAATCTACAGCTGGGGTTTGTCTCTTCTTGCTACTGTGTCTTGCTGGGCAATGATCTACCTGCTAGTGGGCTTCTCTTCATTTGTGAAGAGTTGTGAGCAGGTGTGTGTGTGTGTGTGTGTGTGTGTGTGTGTGTGTGTGTGTGTGTGTGTGTTTTATTATGGATGAACCCAAGGCCTCACACATGCCAGGCAAGTGCTCTACCACTGAGACACATCCCCAATGCTAGATTTCTATGGATGTAGTGAGTACCCACCTACCACTCGTCTACCCTCATAACTACTCCATTATTTCACTCAGGATTCACCTCTTCCATCAGATACAGGCAAACTGACCCCTCTCTATTCACAAATGCAACAAATTTTGGATATTTTTCTAAATATTAAAAAAAAAAAAAACTCCAACAGTTCCAGAAAGTGAGCGTTGCCTTCCCTTAAATACTGTGCTGAGTCCCCACATATGAAGCGATATCTAATATAGTGAGTACCCTCAGTCACCTAGAGGCACCTAGCAGATACAGGATGGTACCTGTGTATGGAGGGGTGTCTGTGCAAACACTGTACTGTTTTAACAAAAGACCTGACATCCGTGGATTTTGGCATCTAAGGAAGAGGTGCCCTAGAACCAGTTTCACAAAGACCCTGAGGGATGACTACTCCCATCCAACAGAAGATCTATGCAAGGGCCCAGAGGTGACAGTCACCCCGAGTTAGTGACAACTGTAACTATGGCCCTGACCCTCTGTTCTTGGTCCTGTGGCTTTGTGAGTACCTACTTCCAGAGTTTCCTACCAACCCTGTAACTATCAGGTGACTTTGTTTTCTTTATGCTACCAGTAAAAGCTGCAGCAGATGGATTTTTGGAAATCATCAAAAGGGGATAAACAAGGACTAGGGGTGAGCTCAGTGGGAGATGGGTGAGGTCCTGTGTGGTCAACCCCCAGTATCCATTAAGGAAATGAAAACCAACAACAAAAGTTAAAGGATTATATAATGTTAAAGTGTCGAGGCTGGGGGTGTGGCTCAGTTGACTGCCTGCTCACCTAACCTGCCTCAAGCCCCGGGTTCAATCCCCAGCACAGCATACGGAAGGCATAGTGGCTCACGCCTACATTTAATCTCATCACTCGGGAGATACAGGCAGGTGGATCAAAAGTTCAAGGCTGCGTAGCAATCCTTGACTGCCTGGTGAGTGAGAGACCAGCTTGAAATACAGGGGACCCCGCTTTCTTTTGAGTTTCTTTGGGTGTTTTGTTGTTAGCACAGAGGGGATGGCGAGGCAGATCAGCAGTGAAGGGCGCTTGCTGCTCTTGCAGAGGACCCAGGTTCAGTTCCCGGCACCCACAACCATTTTCAACTGTAGCTTCAGGGGATCCAATACCCTTTTGCGGCTTCTGTAAGCAGCAGGCGCACATGTGATGTGTATATCTACATGCAGGCGAAACAGTAGCACACATAGGACAAAAAGTACGGAGAGGGTGGGGTGGCATTGGGTGGGAGCAGATACCACTGCACCTCTGGGCACCAGGGCAAGCTACATTTGAAGTTTTTCGGTTTTCGTTTTTTGTGTTTTTCATTCTTCTCCCATCTTTGTATACATGTCTGTGTATTCTGCTGAACCTCCAGGGGCTCTGAGCCCACATTCAACTGCCAGCAAGCGGGAACTTTCAGCACCCCCTCCAAGTGTCTTCTCCAAAGCCACACCTCCTCCAACAGCAGGGATTCAGATTCTATTTAGCACCTCCCAATCCCCAGCATCAACCCGAGGGAAAGAAAGGTGGATCTTGGTGATGCTGTCCAGATTCCAGGGTAAGGGAGCCAAGATCTGCCCAGCAGCTGACAGGAGCCTCAGAGTGCTGTCTCAGTCTCAGGGGCTGTCCTTTGAAGCTGATCTCAGGCCAGCCTGCCTCCTCCCCACATACCTCAGTGACTGCTGCCTCCTCCTGTCACCAGCCCAGCTTAATTGCCTGAAACCTGTGGC